AAATATGCTTTTTAGCAGGCAAAGCCTACACCAGCAAACTTTGACCTGCCTGGGACTTCACTTCGTCCTGCTTTTGTTCCTGCTTTTCCTTCTGCTCCTCGTGGGAGCTACCGCAAGTCAACATCTGCAGATCCCTTTCAGTGCCTGACATGGGCCACACTGTCGGATCCCACTCGTTGCTCATCCTCGTTCTCTTGCCCAGGCGGAGAACCATCTTCGTCCTCCTCCTTCCTGAGAGCTGCTAGGTGTGTCGTGACAGTGGACACAAAGCGCTGCAGCAGGGTCCATCAGCTGGGGTATGCTGTCACACAGTTCAAGGTCATCTCGTGCTTAGGTCCTGCTCGGCGTTCCAGGTCAAGCAAAGCAGCAACGTCGCACTCAACAAAATCACAAGTGTCCTGAGTCATCCTGAGTCTAATCTAAAGAAGTAGACCTACCAACCTTCGTCTGATGACGCATAGTGGTAACAAAAAATCGGGGCAACATGCCTGCGGTCACTCTCTGGAAGCACTCCAAAACCGTGTCTCGCACTCTCTCATGATCAGATGGCGTTTGAATGGGACCCCCATACAATCTGCGTCCTGAGTAATACCTGAGCCAAGCGGCTCGGGGATCTGTGCCTGGGCGTTTGCAGTACGCCAGCTGCGCAGGATTAGCCGCACACGCTGGCCATACCTTCCCGGCGCAGGTGCTACAATCAGCCATAATCTGACCTTTGCAACAACAAGAAAAGTCATGGGGGACAAATGCTTTGATACAAGCCTGCAGTTAACAGCTATAAACAGTTACCTAATGCTTCAAACTTGAGCTATTAATGACCATCCTGAAGTACCTCGCTCGATTCAGGAGCGACATGCCTCACTGCGATGCACAGAGAAGTACTTCTCACTTATGCAGTGCCTCCAGTAATTCCCCACCTAAGCAAAATTAAACCTTCCTTTCGGTCCAAGCGTCTCTCGGCGCACAAAGATATACGAGCTGCCGATGTAGTTCAGCAACACCTTCCATGCAGGATGAGCCTATACTTGAATTGTCGTACTGCCAGGCTACCAAGGATGTAAAGCCACTTTTCAGCAGATTGTGATTTGGCATTGAAAGATTCCTGGCCTGAAAGCCGGTGCTCGCTTTGGTCGTCATTTGCGCACCCAGTTCCGCTTGCATGGCGTTCAGCACGCCCTCTCCTTGCTAATTAGATTAAAGCTTTCAAGATGCTGCGCATGTCATACTGCACAATCAAAACATTCAGCTGCGAGTCATGTCTCACCGTCACCATCACTAGCGGTAGAACCGAAACCTCTGAAATCATGCCCGCAAGTGCAGGAGGAGGATCTCGCCACGTCAAACCGCGGCGGTGTGACCTAAAGCAGGTCTACCCAAAGAGTGCTGCAGGTCCCAGAACATGCCCAGAAGGGAATTCCAGATGCGATCGCACATGATCCTCTGCCATTATACGATGCGAAATTACCATAAGTCCATGTTTTTCCTCTATTTTCCTGCAGACCTTGAATTCTCCATTGTCACATTACATATGTCTTGGCCTGACATTGTCTCCAGGACCTGATCCCGGATTTATGCTGACGCCGGGATGTGACATTCCGGCTTGTCCCTCGCACGCATTTGCACGCCTCAAATGAAGATGCTGTCCCCTACAAAGGCACTCGTCCCGGAAACAGAAGCCTGCCCACATGCCGACAAAGCATGGCTCCCCTATGCGTTCCAGTTACTAAGTTTGTTGACAGCAACAACATACATCATGTCGCGCATGCAACATTTTGATGGAGTTGTGCTAGCATTCCAGCAAAACATGAAATCTCGCCCAAAAACTGACTTTGGAAACAATAGCCCCAATTGATTGCAAATGATAAACTGAAAGCCTTCTCCCCTGCTGCTGCCACACTGCCTCGATCTCCAGGTGCTGGAACGCCAAAGTCTCCGCATGCCTCTTCCTTGGCGGAGACGCTTCAATAGCATGATAGGTAGTTAAGTGTATGTCAATTCGGCAGGCTGTTTCGGAGGAACTCTGATTCTGCCCGCTTTTACTCTTTGTTTTGGCCGCCCATAAGTTTGTTGATTGGCGGAGACGGGTCTTTCTTGAACTTGAAAACCCTTTTGTTTCCAAACACTCTACCATTATTTTTCAACATAGAACTATTTTGAGTTTGATAAATCTTCAATCTGTTTCCATCTCAAACAAAGTTTGAAAAGACTTGCCTCATTTGAACACCTGTGGTTTCTTGGAAGTCTTCCATGAACTAAGCATCTGCGCACTTCAAGAATGCCTGGCTGTAGTTGAGAAGGGTGGGCTGCAATGATGCCTCCAGGCTTCAATATGTTTTTCTACAGCAGCTCCTTACAAGCCCCCTCTCCCGAAAGGAATACGATATCCTGCCAGGCAACAGCTCAGCAGGATTTCCGCACTGCGCAATCATGCTGCCTCATTGGAGCTCATTCTCATGCTCACCGACACTCAGCACATAGCAAACTCCTCTGGCCTGCAGACCCACTCTGCCCCATGCTGCCTTTGGGTCAATTTGGGGAACAGGCACAACCAACCTCAGCCGGTACCAGGGTGCTCAAGGCGTTGGCAAACCTCATCACCAGGATCGGTCGAGGAGTTACGAAGTACTTCCTTTGTTCAAGAACACGGTGCAGAAATGTGCGAATCAAGGGCTGACGCTGCTTGACCGCTTCTACGAAGCTGATGCAAGAAGACTAGCATGATGCAGACCGATGGCTACCTGCTGTGCAACAAACAGTCCGCTCTGCATCAACCTCAAGATCGAGAGTGTGCATTCCACCAAGAATCCGCGCGTAGGGCACGTTCTCTATCAAGGCATCCTGGAAGCAGTCACTCGCACTGAGCAAAGGGAAGGCAGAGGCACGAGGCTACTGCGTAAGGCAAAGTCTGAACCACGAGTATCACAAGTGATGACAAAGCTCTAGAGTTATCGAAAGGTCAAACTCTAATCCGAAAAACGATATGCCAATTGCAAGACAGAGCAGCAAAGACAACATCACCCAAAGCACCACGGGAGGTTTTTTTGATGTATTCCTCTGCACTCCTTGGTGACGGGTCAAAAATGGAGGTTTACCAGGATGGCAGGGTGTGGAGCCTAGCTTTAGCCGCAGGGTGCATCAGGAAGCCTCCCAAAAAGGCCTCAAGACCGCATTCTTGAAGTGTTGGCCCCGTTGATAACTGGCAATTCAGTCGAAGCAAAGCTTTTCGCTGCCCAGCAACTGCTGGATCTCTTGAACTATGTCGTCAGGAAGAAGAAGCTCTTCAAGCGGCACATCAACCACGGCCTCAGGTACAATCGCAAGAGCGTCAGGCTGGATTCGACGCTCGACAGGGAGCACGGCAGCACGCGCAAGGCTCAAGTCAAAATGCAAGACTGCGCACACATGACCCAAAAACTAAAGGGCCCCTGCTCGGTAAGAAACAAATGTTGGAAGCCGCTGGGGCACGGACTTGGAACTTCTCAAAGACCTCAGGAGCTTTGGGTAACATTGCTCGTCCGTACTGCCCCTGACAAGGAAAATAGCAAAAAGGCAAACCAAAAGCATACCCCGAACCCAACATAGCAGGATTGCATGGTTGCCTCAGGTGTGAACTCATGTTCCAGCTTATCTCGAGTCAAGCCACGGACCGGAAGTTGTCATCGATTCCCATGTCCTCTAGTCCTTCCTCAAAAGACTGTGCTGCAGGAAGGCTGCCATGGTGTGCTAAAACGAGCGAGCCTGTTTTCATCCAGGCTACATGAGAATAGGCTTAATCTGGTGTGGGGAGTACAGCAACCAAACATTCGGAAAGGGTGCCTGACAAATCATAGCACGGCTTATTCCATACCAAACATGTGCTGAAATTGCCACTTGAGGTTGTCTCCGCCTGGAACCCGGGCTTCACTGGAAATTTCCCCGCTGCCTCCTCCGCGGTCTCCTCCACCGTCGCCAGCGGCGAGTGGCTGTCATTGCCGTCCTTCCATGGCTGTTAGGGCAGGAAAGGCAGTTGAAACAAAAATCATTGTCATCGCATGGCATCGCAAGGGAAAGTGTTGCTTCATTGATTGAGACAAGAGCATCAACTCCAGGCACATTGGTTGGTGCACTGCCCCGTCTACCAGCATTGCATAGCTGCTCCGCCCTCAACTCTTGAAACTCTCGACTTTCGTGGCTATCAACTCAGATCGAAATACTACCGCGCTACCACTTGCAGGCACCTCGTCAGAGCCGGAAGACCCATCCTGAATTGATGTGGTCTTATCTTCACGCTGCGATTTTTCCGAGGTTTGAGCATGGGGATCAGCGGACAAGGACAGTCCGTGATCTTGGAAGGCATTGACTGGAATGAACGGACGTAAGCCACCGCATTTGCGCGAACTGATGTTCTGCAAGATAATGTTGTATCATCGACCTTTCTCGCAACTCGCAAAGCCGACTGTAACTTGAAACCAGTTGGCATCACCAAGGAAGCCAGTGACAGGCGCCATGGCAACTTTTCAACTTTCTGTATTTTCTAGGTTGACGGCATTTGGATTTGGGGGCACTTGGGCCCACGAATTGAAAAGTTTCTGTCAATTCTGTAGCACGCGCAAACAAATGTCAGAACGTTTGGCTTGTCTGCATGATAGTGTCAGGGTTGAGCTTGTGTTTGGGCTGAGTTGGGTGCTGGGTTCAAGAGACGTCCGCTATCATGGCCAAGATTGAGCCAACGAGCACTGCACTGGATCACCTCATGATCAGTGATGAGACATGCTCACAAAAGCACCCCTCGAAAAGAACAAAGCCTATCCATGCACTGGGTCTAGAAGAATCCTATTCTGTGGGAAACTGTGGGAAACTGCTCCTTGCAGGCAAGCAAGCTAAAAACCTAGCCTTACCGTGCCTACTCTGAAAAATGACAGCAGTATGTTAGGAAAAGATAGACAGAGTGTAAAGGGGTACAGTACTTGTCACATGAAGGCGCCGCCCAGCACAAAACCCCCCCCACTCCCGACAGAAGCCTGTCGAAGGTCGGATGTGCACCCAGCCGTAACGTTCTCTGGCCCAAAGATGAGCTCCTGCACGTGCAAACGGTGACGTGAGAGACGTTCTTGTTGTTGCTAGATGTCGGGAGATTTTGTGCCTGCCGCTGTAAAATCCTCACTTATAACTGATCAGGTGTAGGGTGATTAAGGATACGAGTGGGGTTTGAGGATGCGGGCTTGGACACTGAGCAACAGCACCCGTTGTTGTTGTTGTTGTTGTAGCAGAAGCAGTACGTAGTAGCAGTAATAATTGCAGATATTTTTTTTTCAACCCTGGGGACTCTATTCATGTCTAGCATTAGCTCGGGGGTCCGTATTAGCCCTGGTCGGTTGACTACAGCCAACTTGTAAATGTTTGGGGTTTAGGGTTCAGCGTTCTTGCCGTTTGGGAGTTCAGCACTGCTTCTAAGGTTTTTGTTTAAAGGGGGAAGTGGACTTTTGCGTCTGCACGAGCCCGGCTCTTCGAGCCTTCCCTACATTCAGTGACTCTACGCGGAGACTCCAGAGTTGAGCTGCTTTTAGGTTTAGGTTTGAAAGTGCACTTGCCCAGGGGCTTTTGGGCCGGGATTCGGGGGCAACGCTATGCAGCCATAAGAGTGTGTCCAGGAACAATGCTAAACTCTTACAACCACAAGTCTTTATCAACCAAGGCGGCTGCTGACAAGAACCCCTTCCACGCACAGGGCTTCTCAAGATCAATTGACCGCGCAGCAGCAGAAACCCAGTACCTGACCTCAGCGGCTTTGCCGCCCATGAGGACTTCCAGCCGTGCCTGACTGGTTACCAAATCGGATGGCAAAAGCAAAGCTATCGATCCAAACGTCGCTCGCACTTTTGTCTGGTTGCTACCGGATGCACCCCTGTCGTAAGCAGAACCGCAACGATGCACACTGTATGATAACTGCACGTTTGAAGTGGGTCAATGACCCATAGCTCAAGAATCCAAGGAAAGTCGACTCTTGCTGGAACAAATATGCTCTGGAGGGTGCCTGAAGTTCAAACAGTCGCTCTGAGTACTTCTCACGCTCGGGGATGCTCCACCTGTCATTGACGATGGGCCCGTGGGTCAACTAGAAGTATGTCAAGCGAGGCAATACGCCATCTACATGATACTTGGGTTAGAAGTGCGGCTGGGCGGATAAATGTCAAGTGTCCCGAACATTCATGTAACAATGAGCCGGTGAGGTGCAAAGAGCCGCACAAGCAACGACCAGGGGACGTCACTCCCAAGGCATTTCCACCTCAGACGCAACAGATCGTGGATGATTGCCGTCGTCAGACTCTGCGAAGAGATGGATTGCAATCCGTGGAGACTTTCCTGCTACTCCAGCGCGCCAGGTTTGGACAATTTACTGATTTGACCTGCTTTGCATGTGAACATGTGGAAGAAGCTGACTGAACTTAGCTGATGATTCCCGAATGTGAAGCAGCCTGAAGCCGAAAGCCCTCACTTCCAAGTCAGCCGGAGGCTGCCTGAAGTCTCCAAAACTCGTGCCTACATCTACGAAGAAGACTTGGAGTCTGGGAGCCCAGACGTGGCATGATGGTCGCCTTGTGCACAGGATCCTTCAGGCAAAGAGATGGTCAGGACGCAAAATGACCCGGCACGCTAGAGTCATCTGACTTACACACTGTCTAAGCGTGCACGAACTCAGCTAGCGTAGATACGCAGCGAAGCAACCATACAAATCAACTTCACGCCAAAAGGCCATAGAAGTGACTCGAATAGGCAACTAGGATGCAAGGCCCTGCATCCTGTCGTTTCTGTCACCCGCTGCAACCATCAGCACAGCTTTACAATTTACTGGCTGCAGCTGACCAGTCTTCAAGAATAATAAGGGGGCTTTTCTTTCCGCGCTTCTCTCTTTATTTGAAATTTTCTGTGGTCTGGATGCTCAAGGAAGAAACACAGGCACCATTACACGGAAATAGTCGGCATCTTGACGTAGCTCGTCTACTTTTTGTGCCGTTCTATCGTGTGCGTCATGGCGTTGGATGTGCAAAAAAATCCTGTCGTTGCTGAGCTTGCGTTCTCACTGTGCCTCTCAAGCGGCATTGGCTGTCCAACTATTTCAGGCCATTTCAGTTTGTATGGGATTGATATATAGCCTGGCTTGTACTACCTATGTAATGTACCATTGAAACTGACCAGGCGCCAGTTGTGCAACGTGTTGGGAAGAAGATACAAGTTGAATACCCCGAAAGTGCGCAAATGCCTTTAAATGGTGATGAAGCTTAAAAGCAGTCCAAGGATTTGCAAAATTCTCACGTCTTTTGACCCCACCCACCATCAACATCGTTTGAACGGTGGGAGTTCCTCTACGAAGCACGTCCCTGAAGAGGCCAAAGAAACCCCAATGTTGCCCCAGACCCCAGTGATCTCAGACATGCTACGAGCCTAGGTTTTGCATCCGGCTGGGGTACCCTGCTGCCCCTGCGTTGCCGATGGAGACTAAAGTGTGGCCTCCCTCGTGATACCTGCAATGCAGGCTGCCAAGGTGCATACCAGATGTGACAACCCAGCAAAAGCGCTTTCGACAACAGACTTGTTACTCCTGTGCTGCAGCCTGCTACTCCTGTGCTGCAGCCTGCTAGATGACTGGACGCAATAGCCGAATGCCTGGCTAAACTTCCTACCAATCCTACTTTCTAAAAATGTTGACCAGCTAGAAGAACAAAGCATCAACCCTGCGCACGCAGTGAGTGTCTTCTCTTGGTCACTCATGGGATTCCTCCTCTCGAGGCCTGCACAAGGAGAAGCAGTCTCTGCAACTCAAGAAGGTTTCGAAGCGCAATGTGGATACTGGGGTGTCTCAGTTGAATTCCAGGCTCTACTACTACTTTTTGATCACAAAAATCTTCTTTACACTACTAAGGGCTAGGATATTCGAAGTAAGAAAGCATTCCTGAGGACAAGCGCGCGCCTACGACAACTCGATCGAAGGCTTCTTCAAGGTACTTCGTCGGAATCTGCGACATGAAAGGCATTTGCATGAGTGGCCAAATTAGCTTCTTGTACGCTCGTGCACTTCTGCAGTGGTGGTTGATTAGCACAAGGAGCCAGGGAACTCCTGCAAACAGAACGCAATTGGAATATGTGCCCGGATAAGTACGGAAGAGAAAGAACCTAAAAGTTGTAAGTATAAGAAACCTGGGCATGACAAACCAACATCCCCGCGCACGCAAGGCAGGTTGTCAGCGGACGAGCGAACAGCCGCGATATTCAGGATGTTCGCCAGGTCGGCACCTGGTCCACACAACTCGTCCGATCCAAATTGCAGGGAACTAATTGTAGATTGGACTTGGGTGGTCTGGAGTTGAGCTGGGGAATTTCTTGTATCTTTGCAAGTTGTTGTTTGCCTTTAGTGATTGGCACGGCCCCGCGAAAGCTCGACTTGGTTGCAAAATGCGAGAAAACTGCACACCAAAGCTAAATTTTGAGCGAAGTTTGAAGACACTCCACGCGAAAGCTCATTTCGGTGTGAACACGTGAGAAAGCTCCACGCGAGAGCTCAGAAATGCGAACACGCTCTACTCAAGGGCTCATTCTGTTGCCAAAATGTGAGAAAGCTCACCACGATCATGTTTAGCACCTTCCTTATGAGCATGGCTTTTCTTATGAAAGTTGGTATCGTTCCTGACGTCATTACTAAGGTAACCAGAGCAATCGAAATAAGACTGTGATACAATAAGAACCTTAATCAAAACTGAATAGCAGCAGCAGCAGCAGCAGCACTTGCAATGGCAAGGAGTAGGAGCAGCCAGCAAATCTTCATTAGCAATCATACAAATCATATCAGCTTACAGTATTAGCAGTGGAAATAAACGGTGGTCGGAAGAAATTTACGATTATATATGGTAATCGTAGGAATAGAAGCACATATGAAAAAGCAGTTTTTGTCACAACAAGAACGGTTACCATTTATCCTCGTGGCAAAATTGCCTGTAGTAGTGGCAGTAGCCGCAGCAGTAGTAATAGCAGCCCCTAAAAATTGACAACAATTCATCGGCCGTAGAACACTTTTTATCACAATGAAGAAAAATTGCAGTAATGATTGCCGAAATGCAAGTACAAAAGAAGTTCTTCATGGATTGATGGGACTGGGGCTGGGTGGCCAGGCTCTGCATTTGCTCTACAATTGCAAAGCATTGCCTTGACGTCTCTTGGAAGTACAGGGCTGAAAAACAGCGGGGACGTTGCGGGGGCACAGCCTCTGCATGGATAGAGGTGAGACCGCGCACGTTCTTGCTGAATGTTGATGAGATTTGCCAGGCCTTGTGCTGCCTCCTCTACAAAACGACATGGAGGTTGCCAGGGCGCAGCCCCAATACCCCTCTTTGCAAAAAATGGATGGGTAGCAGAGGGTGAGCAGACTGGTAATGATAAAGGAATCATAGGAAAAACAAACAAAAACAATTGTTTGCGTCGAGCATCCCCACTCTAGACTCTAAAGTGTGATTGTCCAGCACCTGGGGTTGTTGACCGATTCTGGTCGGTCTCACAATGGAATCTACACAGGGTCTCTTACAAAGGTTATAATTTCTCGGGCCGACATAGGGTCCGCTTTTAGGGGTTCTAAGGGCTGCATAGGGTCTCTTTTGAAAGAGGTTACACAGGCTCCCTTTCAAAGAGGTTACAAATGCTAAATAGGATCCCTTTAAAGATCCTCTAATGGGTTTGCAAGGGAATTATAGGGTCCTTTACAGGGGCTATCGCTTTCAAGGTTTATAAGAACGACATAGGATCCTCTGAAGGGGTTATAAGGCCTACATAGGGTCTTTAAAAAGGTGTTTCAGGGCTGTTAAGCGCCCCTTACACAGATTGTAGGGATACTGCAAAGTTGGGCACAGCAGGAATCGGGAACTGCAGGGATACTCTGGGGTTGGACACTGCAGTGATACCCTGCGGTTGTGCACTGCAGGGACTGTGCACTGCAGGGGTACTCTGAGATTGGGCGCTGCGCGGAGGGCGAGGAGAGCATGGATTCCCTAAATCGAACAACCTCCCTATGAGGGGGGGAATTATTTATGGATGGCAATACTAGGAAAAAACTACAAACACAAGTCCGTTGAAATGTCGATTTTTCCCAAGGCCTGAAGTATTAGCTGCTTGAATGCAGAATTGGAGCGTCATGAGGTGCTACAAGAGCTGGCCGATCTGTGAAGATAGGTGCCCCTAGAAGGGACTCTAGCCTTTAGCCTCTTGGGCTGTTGGCTGCTGCCATTTGCAGTAGCTTCACAGAGTCGAACAAACACCTTGCTGGATCACCAGGCTTAGGCTGCAGGTGATCTAAATTCCTTGCAAAGCAAATAGAAGTCGTTTCTTTTCCTCTGCCAACAGCTCCACAATCCTGCTGTCGTCGCCCTCTATCGGTACTTGCCACCGTACCTGGCCATGAGCAGTCTGCTTGCAGGGCCTTGCCATGACATCTGATAAATGCCCCTGCAACGTGCGTAGAGAGTTTAACAAATCAGGAGTGCCGCCCAGGACCTAGGTCACAGTGAACCACAGCGCGCACTCGCTCTTGCCTTTCTTGGAATCTGTTCCCAGCTCGAAGTGCTTAGTTCGCTTGATAGGCTTCATGCCTGAGAAAACACTGCCAATGCAAGCAAATGCTATTCGTATACCCAACAGACCCAACATGATAAAATCTTAAGTACCATTCTGCCTTGACCCCAAAAAGTTGGGCAGATTCATTCTTGCAACGTGCTACCTGGCGGCGCCCCAGCCCATTATTGGAATAGATATGCTGCTAAATGCTTGCAAGCCACCTTACAGTGTACACAATTGACACGTATGAAGCCTACACCGCCTCGACCTAGACGAGCGGGCAGGCCCGGCCCTCAAAGCCGGAGGAAGGAGTGGGGAGTGAGCTAATGCAGTAGGAAATTGGACAAACAAGGACATGGAGAGGTCGCGGAGGAAGATGAAGAGGCAAAATAGGATCTCGATAAACGACGACGACACTGATGTCAAGAGCCCTGTCTCCAGGACGCTGATGACAATCATGATCACGAAGTCAGCAAGACAGATCAGCCCGACGAAGGTTGATGACATGTGCCTGCTATGCTGACACTAGACCATCTGGACGGATTACGAGTCATGTAGCATGACGGATGATCATCAAAGACCGATGCCGTTGCCCAAATGGCTGTGCATGGTGGCTACGACTGCATTGACCACAAACTCAGTCAGAAGAGGTGCCGACAGCTGGTACACCATAAGTGATGCTGATCTATCCCGGTGTAGAATTATAAGAGACACACTGGATTAAGAGAATCGGGTGAACATGGAGACGAAGCGGGAGATCAAAGAACAAGGCTGAAGATGCGACGAATCGTCAACGAAGGAACAGTACGAGTTAGATGCTGAAAAAGGCCGAGTCATGACCATGGCGTCATGAGGAAAAGGATGGTGACAATGACTCGGCAGTATGATGCATGCTGGAAGGAATTCGATCTGATTAGTGTTGATAAATGCCTGACGAATCCTGCATATGCTGATCGGCACCACACCGCTAAACTCCAGCTTGAGTGCAAGATGATATGAGAAAGATGACAAGCGCCACTGATGCTGCAGCTGACGGAACAAGGATCATCATCAAAAACGATTAGGGACGCTAAATCGCGAGTGTCACCGAGATGATGCGGAGGCTGCAAACCATCACCCATGACAACTTCTGGATTAGGCGAATGCCCATGGCAATGACACCAATTAGAGACGATGATGGCTGGCAGATTTACAAGCGGAAGCAATTGCTGCAGGATAGAATCGAACAAAAAAGGACATGGCAAATGGTGCCCATGCCGCCTGCATGCACTCAGGCATGCTTTCATGATGCCTCGCGAAATGATAAGACACGAAGACAGTCTTTGCATCCTGATGAAGATGTCGATGGGCAGCAAGATTGTGAAGAAAGTAGCGTGGTGGTGCAGCTGCTGCTGCTGCTGCTGCTGCTGCTGCCGCCGCCGCTCAGGACAATTATTGCCACAATCACAAAGGCACATATGGACTGCTGGATCACCCAAGACGCATTATGCAGCAGCAAGCTGATGCCCAAAGCAACCAAAAAAGAGGTGCTGAGATGTACATTCTGAATATTCTGTTCATCAAGGGGAAAACGGAAGCGGAGACTGCTGATTCCGCTGCTCATGCTGAGAGCGATGTTTTCATGAAGCCTGAGCGAAAACACAAAAAGCATACACTGAGACCTTAGTTAGATCGAAGATAAGGTGAGAGAAGAATAGCGGCGATGACAATGATGATGGTATGACCACGATGGCAATGACGTGTGTGCTTTCGATATGGCAGCCATGAGACGCTCATGGGTGCTGAAGGAAGATGGTTGATGGGGCGCTGACGTAGAATAGACATGGGTAACTTCATAAAATCGTAGCATGACTGGGAGGGGGAGGGTGGGGGAGTTCTTTTGAAAATGCAAGTACTTCCTCCCACTACCCCAGCCACACCAGAGCCAGAAGACTCGCAGCGCTAGCTTTCATGACTTGTAGCCGAGAAGCGCTTGGCTTTGCACTTTGTGCACTCAAACTTCAAGACCTCGCAATGCCAAAGCGTGCCCAAGCGACAAAAACAGCTGCTGACAGCCAAGCTTTGAGAACCTGGATTCCAATATCATGGACAGCCTTTTTGTCTGGAATAATGAACTTTATGAAGACAGGGCTTATTCGATCAGCCAAGTGCTTGACAATCTTCTTTGTAGTCTTCGCCTCAGCTTCACTCTTTCAAGATGAGATTAATGTTCTACTGCCGCACTCCGAAAAACAGAAGTGCACCTGCAGGCAGCTACCAAAGAGGCCTTCTACCCAGACCGACCGGTCTTCCATGAGGGTCTGGAAATCTAGTAATAACAGTTCCTGCTGCTAGTGGCTGCTATGAATGACATCTGAGGTAGCACTGGAATGGAACCGAGAGATGCGAACAAAAACGCAGAATCGGCGCTTGCCTTCTTGTGGAACACCGGCTTCGTCTGTCCACCAAACCCAGCCTGGCTATCGGATATTTTAGGCAAAAGCCCGTCCGCGATCATATGGATGCCGTTCTGCATTCGTCTAGTATCGATGCCCCAGCATAAAGGTTTCCTTGCGCCTGCCCTTGCGACGTCTTGCGCCCTTGGGCATCTGAAAGCGTTTCAACATAGTGTATACGTATGTGCATAGCGTATGGATAACAACTTGCTCTTGCGCCCGCGCTTGCGCATGCGTGGATTTTGCGACCCCATGCAAAACCCTAGGTGGGGGTTCAGAACGGCATCCATATCTGATTTAGATGACGGTCCACTGCACATACAGTCTCAAGGCATGCACACAAGCCATGGGCCTCACGTCGATTTCTTGAAAGCCTTCAAATTCCACTTGCCTGCTTCTTGTCGTACCGCCGCTTGCCCTGGGCGCTGAGGGAAGCCTTGCCGGTCTTGTACTGCGAGACCTCACACAGCAAGGGCTCTCGGGGAACCTGGCATATGCTTGCAGAATTTATCGCACATCAAATTGAATCAGCTCCTCTACAGAAACCCCAAGACCCTTCATGAACTGCCCAAATCACGCCCTCCTCAGCCAATGGCCTTGTGTGGAGTGTGCTTCTTGCACTTCCTGATTTCCAGTCCCCAAAGTGTGGTGCTTGAGGCGTTGATTGTACTGGCTTCGCATTCCACAGCAACGTTGCGAAAGAAAAAAAAAAA